TTGTTATAAAATAGTATATTATGATCTCAATAGACAGAAACTCAAAATATGGTTGTTGCAGTGGACAATCCCATCGCAAATCATTGTGACTTGTTTTTCATTGAATGAAATCAATTTTATTTATAATGCGCGCCTGTTCCTCAGGAAAAGATGCGATGCCCGATGTTAGAGGAGATGGTTTTGTCAATCATTTTGGAAGTGATGTTCGAGATCGAGAAGGACAGCAGCAGACAGCACCGATACATATGGCAGATTTTGGCCACTGAATTGGTGTATATGGTGGTACAACAGATGATTAGTTTCACGCGTCTCGTTCAGCAGCTGCATCAGAAGGTACGTTGATAATATGAGTTGATTTTAGCTTATATAGCCGGGTTTTCACCAGCATTGAGTAGCATTAATTCGTTTGTCATACAAGGTCAGGAGACGGATTACATGAAGTATGTTATTGCATTACATGCTGTGATATGAAGACAAAAAATTTTGTTGAAGTTGCTGATGCTGCTGTTAGAATGCGGTTTCACGCTTTATGGCCGTTTCTGTTCAAGTGTTGTTTACACATAAATTATGAAAATGATTTTGACGGATTTTCATCCCAGCGCTCGCCTACGGTCTTGGGTCCTGGACCCTGATTGAAAATCTTCGATTTCAGGTACAAGCAGCTGAATTGGGCTTTTTGAGACGAGTCACTGGCCTTACGCATCTCGACATCATCCGGAATACAAAAGTTCATGAGGGCCTTGATGTATAACCGCTGCTTCTTCAGACTGAGAAGTCGCAGGTGCGAATGTGCACGTGTTGTGAATGCCTTCAGAACGAAAAGCGAAGCATCTACGTTTTGTCTAGCAGACCGGCAGAAGGACCAGGAGTTTGCTAAGATTAACCTGGAACAAATATGTGGAAGGAGTCTGCTCTAGACTCCGCATGTCTTCTGTTGAAGCTCAGACTCATGCACAGGAGCAGGAACGTTGGAAGCACTGTCTGACGCTTCTACTTCCGCGACTGGAAAGGACAGCATGGTCCTGACCAGTAATTTTAACAGATTTTAACATTCATTCCGCATGAAATGCAGCGACTACTTGCTCATTTGTTTAAGAGAATGGAATTTCACAAGGTTTCGAAAAGAATCTCAACCAGCGGAGCATGTAATGATTATTATTTGGTATGTTTAATACTGGCCCGTTGTTGGAACGTTGGCGAATTTTTTGATCCATGGTTAAGGGCACACCAAAAAGTCGATAGTGCGACTTTTGTTGCCGAGGACTTTTCTTTCTTTAGGACAAGGTTAACAACGCCGGCGACCAGCCGCCTTATACAAACAAAAATGGAACATAAGAGTATATACTATATAAAGCATCAGTCACTCATAACGTCAGTTTTAAAGTTCATATTAACTTTGTGACCGGCTTTATATTACCACACTGGAACATTAGTATTCATTTGAAAATTCATTGTTTTTGTGCCAAATTATGGAAGAGCTCCATTATCAGAAGATTGATTCTTGGGTGCAAAAATTGGCTGATGACTAACGGAACATCCATAAAATGTAGTGTGTTGGGCGTTACCAGATTTGTCAGCCTGTATGAGGCAAATGAGTGATTAAGCGTTAATTAATGCGGATGATATATATTCTTGTGTTAGATAATAATATAATACATATACATTCTACTTTGACACTGCTTCCTTAAGTTCGAAATGGGATGCCAAAGTTTTTCTTTATGAAATGCCCTCCTCGAAAGTCCATTATTTGCAGCACTTAATACAAGTACCTCTCAGTGTAATAATATATGATATGATATAATA